CAAAAAATGTTAATCGTGATGAATCACACACTTAAATATAACAATTTAAGAATCATGAAACTTCTAAAGGAGATAATATGGTATCTTCATAAATATGGATTTATAAAGCACTAAACTATAAAGAAAAATATTGCCAAATTACATTTTTTCTTCTCATCAAAAGACACCTTTAAATATATTCAAGATACAAACTGGAAGAAAACATTAATTATGTAGCACAAGATACGCTGTAAGAACATAGAAAGAGCTCTTAAGATCTACTTAATAAAAAGACAAGCATGGATGTGATGTAGCTCAGGGCTGCAGCATTTGCCCAGCAAGCAAGAGGGCTTGAGCTCTCTCCCTGGAGATAGGGGTGGGGCCACTTGCCAACATGTTGGTTTAATAGCAGCCTGAATTATAGAGACCTGGTCACCCCAAACAACAGCAACAACAAAACAACAAAAAGAAAAATAAAGACAAGTAATATAAAAATGGGCAAGATGCCTGAATAAGTTTTCATAACAGATACTCAAATAACCAATCATTATTAATAGGTGCTCAACGCTATTAGTTACCAGGGAAATAAAAATGCACATCGTGATAAAATGTCACTCATAATCCTGGGTTAGTCAAAATAGAAATGATGCCTCCAATAAATGTTGTCAAGAAGGTAAGACAATTGAAACCCTCCTACTACACAGGTGTAACACTTTGAAGATCGGTATAGTAGTTTCTTTTAAAGTTAAGTACATGTGTAGCTTATGACCATCAATTTCATTCTTAGGAAAGAAAACTAAAAACATATGTTTATAAAATGCTCTTCATAAGAACATCACAAACAGCAGCCTTAATTTACAATAATTAAAGGGTTAAAGAAACCTGATTATATATCAGTGGAAAATTAATAAATTGTTATATTCGTAGAGTGGAATACTATTCAGCAATAAAAAGGAACACACTAATAAAATATACACCCTTACGCATCTTTAGTAGACCTTCAGCTTCTTCTTTTTTTGCATCACAGGACATCATTATTGGTACAAGTTGCTGTGAAAAGCAATGTATGTTGGCCACATGGATTGCACAGGAGAGATTTTCAGCTACTGACTGATCTCACCCAGTTCCTAGAGATCTCCTCAGGTGAAATCTGGCTGCAAGTTGATACCTTCCTAGCAATCACTACATAAGAAGTGATTTTAAAAGTCCAGCCTATTTGTCATTCATAGACATCAATTGTTGCGAGGCACACTTTCTACCCAACAGCTGTAGTGGTTCTTGCTGTACTCCAATTTACAATCAATGAGTTGTTTGTTTAATAAGGTTCTTTCTTTCTTTCTCTCTTTTTTTTTCATGTATTTAGGACAGGGTCTACAGGGTCTCACTATGTAGATAGGATTCATAGTGATTCTCCTATTTTCAGCCTCCCAAGCGCTGGGATTATAGGTATGCACCACCCCATCCAGCCTCAATCACTGCTGTCTCAGCACGCTCCGGGGTGGGACCGGCAAGGCATACTGGGGATCGAACCGGCCACTGTGCTCTACCTAAGCAGGTGGTTTAGTCCGCTGAACTATCTAGCTGGCCCTTACATGCTTTATATCAGGGATCTGTGCATAATATTCTGTGGGTTAAATCCTACCCATTATGTATTTTTGTAAATAAAGTCTTATTGGGACAACAGCCAAGAGTGTATGTTTGTTTATTCTCCATGGTTTCTTTTGTACATGTGTAAATGTAGTATTTACATGTTGGTCTACATTTCCATTATATGGAAATCTTGAAATTTTTTACAGTGAAGAATCTTAAGTAATTTTGGGGTTAATAACAGATCTGGGATATTGTAGAATGAACTCAGTTTTCCAACTTGAATAAGAATGGAATAAAAAAATGCTCCTTTCCAAAATTTCATTATCTGAACAGATTTTAGGAACAGATTAGATAACTTTACTTGGACAATCCAGTGGAAATAGTCCATTTGAGGACCCTTACATACTCACAAGCCTGACTTTAGATTTGGTGAATGGTTTTCTTTGAATGTCAGAAAGTTGGTGATATCAAATACCAACACAATTCAATTAAATATTTTTAATGGAGCCTAACTACTGTTAGCAGTTAATTTTATTTTTAAAGAATACAAAATAGTAAAAAAGAAAAAGTATTAGAAACAATACAAGATTTCACTAAACAAAGCAATAAGAATTCAACAATGGTTACTGTATTGCATGATGATATCTTTAAATTAGTTCAGATTACCAGATATAAGCATGCAAGCTTTATTTTAAAAAACAGCAAAAAAGTCATGACATTAAAAAGCGAAAATAAGAATAAAAAAGCATTAACTGCTCCTTTCAAAAGACCAGCAGAGATTATAATGGGTTACTTGGATTTTGAACTCACTGAGGTAATTTTCTGTAAATTAGTAACAGGGTGCTCAAGACCACTCAGTAGTTTAAAAATAACAGCCTTAAGCCCTCATGGTCAGGGAATTCATCCTAAGAGTGAGGAGTTCTTTCTATAACTGCTCATAGCAAACAGGACATAGTGCTTGTGTAGGTTAAAGGTTAATAACCTCAGAATGTGTTAAATTGTAGTAATCTAAGTCAGAGTGGTTCATGTTGACATATATGTACCTGAGACAATGAGCCGCTGTATAATAGGTGATGATGAAGTTTAGGCCTGACCACCTCTTGATCCGTGTAGGAATGTAGCTAATGATTTTGTTAAAACTCAGGATATTGTACTCAATCTATTGTCAAGTTAACCTGTGAATCGCGCCTAAATGCGTTGGTAGGTCATAAATAATTAATTTTAAAATATGTACATGTGCTAAGTAGTGAGTAGTTTCTGTTTAAAAACCCTGTTTTCTATCACTCGGTGCACTTCTCTGGCTTCTCTCCTGCATGAGTAGAACTCAGGAAGGCCCTGAGCTCGATGTTAAAGACTCATTTAAAATTCTCACTTTGGACTCTGGTCTGGCTTGTTTGAGAACCCACAACAAGATCAGCAGTACAATTATCCAAACTATCCTGCA